TTGACTTTTCAATTTAGACACATTTGACCATGAATTTTGAATCTTGTTCTAAATAAAGACAATTGAAGATACCATTATTTAATTTCAAGGACAAAATCATCAATTTAATAAAATATAAACTAATTTGACAAAAATAAATGTTAAAAAATATTTTTAATTTTTTAATTTTTTTTTTATCCACCAATGATAAAATTATGTAAAATTAATAAAAATTACATGATTAATTTTTAAAAATTAATTTTACATGATCATTATTCAAACAAATAATAAAAATTAATTTGGTAAAAAAAATAAATAAATTTCTAAAAGATTTATCGATTTTACATAATTTTATTTTTAGTTGGTAGAAATAATTTTAAAAAATTCAAAAATATTTATTTGACATTTATTTTTCTCAAATTAGTTTGTATTTTATCAAATTGATGATTTTACCGTTGAAAAATCTAATGATATTTTCAATTGTCCTTATTTGGAACAAAATTTAAAATTCAGGGTCAAATGTGTCACGATTGAAAAGTTAGAAACCAAAGTGACACAAGCCCCAAACTATAAGGAATATTAGTGTAATTCACCCTAAAAAAAATAGATTGATATTTTAATCACACTTAATTTGATTGAGTGTGATAATATCTGTTTTTATGTCACTTGTCAATTAAGTGTGATTATATATATATATATATATTTTTAATCACACCTTTTAATTAACATGTGATTATATTTATTTTTATATCACTTTTTAATTAAATGTCATTATATATAATATTTATTTTTAATTATACTTTTTAAATAAGTGTGATTATATATGTATTTTAATCACACACCCTAAATAGGTGTGATCGTATCGATTTCATTTTATTTTAATCACACTTTTTAAATAAGTGTGATTACATATGTATTTTAATCATAGATGTGATTGAACAAAATATTTCTATTTCATTTTTATATAAAATCTGATTCCAAGTTGGCGCCTATTTTGTACCATCATTGAGAACAAACGACTCTTGCCTTTCCCAACATCAGAATCTCTTCTCCTTGCTTAAACAAAACCGTTCATTTTCTTCATCTCAGCTCCGAACCACCATTGCCTTTCCCAACAAGATTGAATCTCTTCTCCTTGCTAAAACGAAGCCGTTCATTTTCTTCATCATAGCTCCGAACCACCATTGAAGTTACTCACTCAAACCACCATTGAAGTTTGTCTTTTCAAATCAAAAATCTCTTGAAATTCTTGGTGAGTCCTCTAGTTTTTATGCCCCTTTTGTGTGTATTTTTGTTGGTATAGCAGAATCACAAATTTTGCTAAGTTTTCTTCTCTATCTATGTATTTATCCCCTTGTGGTATTGGATATGGATATGTATTTGATAAGTTTAACAGAGGGTGAAGAAGTCTACATGACTGTAGATTATAGACTATTTAATAAGCCTTAGAGGAGAGGAAAGAAATGGAGAAGGGAAAAGGAAAAACTAAGCAATCAATAAATTTATAAAAGATCCTTAGAGAATGCAACACTGGCCAGGCTTGATCCCAACATGAGTCAATCCAGATCCACAGATCAATTTGGCAATTTCAGACTCTACCTTTAATTCTGGACAAGAAATCACAAAAGTACCTTCATATATCTTGTTTAATCTATTTTGCAGTGAATTATGTGAACCACATTTTCTATTATTATTGGTATTATTTTGTTTTGGTAATATCTGATGAAATTCCTCACAATTTTTTTTTATCTCCCCAATTCCTCTACATTTTGCTAACTGATGTAGCCCCCAGTACAACACCTTAAAAGTGCATAGAGCTCTCAGTATTTTTCTAACAAGTGAGATTTTATTAACCCGTGTACCTTAATTTGTGCTTGTTAAACCCTTTCTTGATGTTTAAATTAGAGAGCTCAGACATCAGATTAGGTTTCCTTAGGTATTAAACAGCATTTTTCTATAATGAATCTTAGGTTTGAAATAGCACATAGAGCAAGATGGTCATCTCAATCATTATTTAAAAAGCATCCAGAACATATTAGAGTTTAACATAATAAACATACACAATGCAAGCCAGACGAGAAAAAGTAACCAAACCAAACCAAACTAAACTTTGTGTCTCTATCAAGTGAGATTGGCTACATGAATCATTTTTTAGCCATTTTTCTCTGTCAAGGGCTATATGCTTGGCTCTCTAATTGAGGTGCTTTAGCCCCTCGTTATCAAATCCCACAACAACACCTACTCTACAAAACATTGACATGAGATTTTCGGTAGGACATGACTATAAGCAACAACCTGCTTATTGCAACCTTGTAGGCAACAAAATTCCCCAAGAATAAGAAATGTAAGTAAAAGAACAAATTGGTTCTACTTCAACACATTGCCACAGGGTAGCTTGATGGCTTTGTGGATTTATGGATTTTAGAGTGCTTCATAAAAGTATTAGTCATCTTATGATTTTTCATTATCAGTAGTCTAGTTTGCTATTTTTACAACATAGAATACTTCACTCCAAAGTACTTGCCTATGAGGGACCTCCTTCAGCATCCTATATATAGAACTATTACATGTATATTAATAAATTGAATTTACATCTTTAGTCCTTAAGTAACCTCCTTAGTAAGTTGTTACTTTCAGTTAGGAGATTATTCAATCAGCTATGAAATAACTACTTCAGTATTCCATATACACGAGTATTACAGGTACGATATTAAATTTAGTTTACATATATAGTTCTTAAGTTATGTTCTAGTTCACTCTAAATTACTCAGAGCTATGAAGTAACTCCTTTAGTATCTAATTTAGATTACATATATAGTGCTTAAGTGACCTTCTAGTAGGATGCTTTTTGTACCTAGTCTACAACTTCCCTCCTAAATACATAACTATAAAGTACCTCTTTCAGTATCTTTATATATCATGTATATAAGATTGTAATTTCACACATTGATGAGACAATCAAGATATGTCTTGAAGCATATTACTTCTAAAGTGCTTAATCTTTTGCTTGGTGAAAATGTCGAAGAACCTAGAACTGATTGCCTGGGTTTTCTCCAATTTTTTTTTTTTTCTTTTTTCCAGATAAAGGGGTGTGACTCTTCTTGATTCTGGATGTAATCGCACAATTTGTCCCTCTTTTTTCTATTATTCCTCTCCATCACCTTTCACCTTCTATTAATCACTCTTCCAATGAAGATTGTCTTAGCTCAGCTAACAGGATAGGAAGAATTTATCCATTTTTTCAACATTCAAATTGCCAAAGGAGATCACTACTATACTCATGAGAGAAGATAGAGAGGGAGAGAGTGGACAAAAGTAATGTTCTTCATAACAATAAACAAATTACAAAACACAAAACTGCTTTGAAACAAAATATGCAATTCAACTGTCCACGTTAGAATTGCTCATCAAGTATCAAAATGATCTGAATAATAGAATCAGTACTAGTAGTACAATGAGATTTATCTGGTGCTTGTTACTAGAAAGCAGAAACTGTTAAGTGAAACTAAATTGTAGAATTTTACCAGATCACACTCACATAACCCTAACATGTTAGATTAAAAATATTATCTTTCCACACCCTTCATAATGGCAAACATATTGTCTCTCTCAATGGATGTGTGAATGCTTCCTCAAAGCTCCAGCATCGATAAATGTCTTCCCACAGCCTTCATAGCTACAAAGGAACCTTAGTAGTTGGCTCTGGTTCTAGTTCTGCGGCTTCTGGCTCATTTGACTTCTCTTTCATGGCCTTCAATGTGGCCTTTAGAAAAACAGGACAAGGAGAAATATTAAGACAAAGTCATATGACAAATCACAATAAATTGCCACAACACCCTCAGTTCATCCTACTACACCAGCCCAGGATGGCTCTCCAACCTATATGGTAATCCAGTAAGGTCACAAAAATACTAAGTAAGGACAACACCAAGGCCATCCAGCTAGACGCTGACCATCTACATCTAGATTACCCCACAATGTGGTCAGAAACAGTGAGCACAAGCTCAAGCAATACTAGCATGAGCACTAATACTTCTATCCTCCACAACACCAAATTTTCGTACATAAAAAATACCAGTACTTGAATTGTAAGAAGTCCCGCCAGTAGTTGTTGCTGTTGTCCAGAACTAAGCACACTGTTGTTGTTGCTGCTGCTGCTCTCCAGAACCAAGCACACTGTTGCTGCTCCTCTCCAGAACAATGCTGCAGCTACTAACCCAGACACCTTCTAACCTCAACAGTTACACCCAGTAAACAAACCACACCAGCTGCAGCACCTTTCACCTCAACAGCTGCAGCACCTGATTCAAATTGATCACAAAATCATGAACTGAACAGCATCACTAGTGGCACCATATTCCAAATTTTTCTCTCCTTCATCTTGAGCTTCACCCTATCCCACCATTGTTTAGACTTTATGGAATTACTTTGGAATTGTTTAGACTTTATGGAATTATTATTTTTTCTTTTTTTGACTTTGCAATTATTCATAGATCAGATAAATTATTTGTTATAAGATCTTGTATTTTATTTATTTATTTATTTGTTGCAAGTTTGCTTGAGGCATTTAATGTTCTATCAAAGAAATTGTGCCTTCTCAATGACATTCCTTTAATGTCATCAACTGTGTAGCCTCTAGTTTATTATTTTATATTCTAATTTCTTTGTTGGTATAAGTATTCAAAAATACATTTAAAATGGACAAATCTTGGATGTTCAAGGATAGAAGATCAAAAGACTATGAGAATGGAGTTGAACAATTTCTTAATTTTGCTATGATCCTTGCAAGTGATCTTCAATCCATACGTTGTCCTTGCAAAGTCTGTGGAAACTTGAGAAACCAACCTATTCGAGAGATTAGAAATCATCTTTTTTTTAATGGTGTTGACCAAAGTTATACCACATGCATATGGCATGGAGATGCAATCACTAATAGGACATCACCATGTTTAAATGAACAAGATTTTTTCCAACAACAATTTGACCCGTCTCCCACAGACAATGTAGCTTAAACAATAGAAATGGGTCAAGATGCATACGATCATTGCACGGCTAATCCTAAAGTGTTTAAGAAATTACTTGAAGATGCCGAAAAACCATTGTATCCGGGTTGCACAAAGTTTACCAAGTTATCTACATTGGTTAAACTATATAACTTCAAAACTACAAATAGCCTATCTCACACTGGGTTTTCAGACCTACTGACGTTGTTGAGTGATATGCTGCCATTGAACAATGAAATACCATCATCCATGTATGAGGCTGGGAAGACGTTTGCTGCATTGGGAATGGGATATGGGAAAATACATGCATGTCCATATGATTGCATACTCTATAGAAAAGAGTACAAAGATACAACTTCATGTCCTACATGTGGTACATCCAGATGGAAGTTGAAGAAGAATTCCACTGAAATAAGAAAGGATGTGCCTGCAAAAGTTTTATGGTATTTTCCATCTATCCCAAGGTTTCAAAGGATGTTCCAATCAGCAAAAATAGCGAAGGATATGACATGGCATGCTCACGAAAGAGATTATGTTGGCACAATGTGTCACCCAGCAGATTCTCCATCATGGAAGTTAGTAGACCACAAGTGGCCAGATTTCATTGCAGAGCCAAGAAACCTTCGATTAGCTATTTCTACAGATGGAATAAATCCACATAGTTCCCTTAGTAGTAGGTATAGTTGTTGGCCAGTTATAATGATTACCTACAATCTTCCACCGTGGTTATGTATGAAGAAGAAATTTATGATGTTATCATTGTTAATATCAGGTCCACAACAACTTGGAAATGACATTGATGTTTACTTGGCACCACTAATTGATGATTTGAAAATGTTGTGGGAGGTAAGTGTTGAAGCTTATGGCGCTTATAAAAAAGAACACTTCAGGCTAAAAGCTATATTGTTGTGGACAATTAACGACTTTCCAGCATTAGGTAATTTGAGCGGTTGTACTGTAAGGGGATATTATGCATGTCCAATTTGCCGTGAAGGAACATGTTCTCACAGATTAAAATATGGTAAGAAGAACACATATGTTGGCCATAGAAAACTTCTTCCACGCTATCATCCATGTTGGAGGCAAAAAAAGGCTTTTAATGGTGAGCAAGAGTTTGGATTAGCTCCAATACCATTAACTGGGGAGGAGATATTAAATAAGGTTGAAGGGCTTGTAACCATATGGGGAAAGAAAAATAAAAAAACATTACATGTTGGTGGTACAAAATGTTGGAAGAAGAAATCATTAATCTTTGATCTTGAATATTGGAAGTACTTACATGTTCGACATAATTTGGATGTTATGCATATTGAGAAGAATGTGTGTGAGAGCCTCATTGGTACGTTACTTAATATTCCAGGAAAAACAAAGGATGGAATTAATTCTTGCCTTGATCTTGTAGAAATGGGTTTGCGTGAAGAACTGGCACCACAAATTAGGGAGAAGCGAACATACTTGCCTCCAGCATGTTACACATTGTCTAAGGAGGAGAAAAGAAGAGTATGTACAACATTATTGGAATTGAAGGTTCCAGAAGGACACTATTCAAATTTGGGAGTCGTGTATCAATGCAAGATTTGAAACTTTATGGTCTAAAATCACATGATTGTCATGTATTGATGCAACAGTTACTACCTGTGGCAATACGATTTGTGTTACCCAAGCATGTGAGACATGCCATTATCAGGTTATGTTTCTTTTTCAATGTTATTTGTAGCAAAGTGGTGGATGTGGGAAAATTAGATGAGATTCAAAAAGATCTTGTGGTGACATTGTGTTTGCTTGAAAAGTACTTGCCACCTTCATTCCTTAATATCATGGTGCATTTGACAGTGCATCTTGTTAGAGAAGTTCGACTTTGTGGACCAGTTCACTTTAGATGGATGTGCCAATTTGAGAGGTTCATGAAGATCTTAAAGGGTTATGTTCGTAATCGTAATTGTCCTGAAGGTTGCATTGCTGAAAGTTACATTGTAGAAGAAACTGTTGAGTTTTGTGCAGAGTACTTATTTGGAGTGGATGCAATCGGGATTCCTTCTAATAGGAACATGACAGATAATGATGATATAGAAATTGGAAGGCCTTTACTGTTGATCGCAGTGAATGGGAGCAAACACATCGTTATGTGTTAGAAAATACAAGTGACATTCAACCATACATTGAGTAAGAATATTTCATGTACATTTTTGTTTAATTGTATTCTAACAAGTTAGTGATTTATCTCATAATATATTGCTTTATTGATGATTTGATAGGGCGCATATGGCTTGGTTGAAGCTGAAATATCATCGTCAATCACAAAGTCAAAAATGGCTACAAATTGAGCATAATAAAACATTTATGTATTGGCTTCATGAAAAGGTATTAGGGTAATTCAACATTTATCTTTTTCTAATAGCAAATATTATTAAGAAAAAGTTACCTAACTATTCAACCATATACAGGTCTCAAAGGAATTAAGTGGCCAAAATAATATCTCAAATAACCTGAAGTGGATAGCACAAGGACCTCGATTGGATGTTATAAAATTCCCTGGCTATATCATCAATGGTTGTCGTTATCACACAAAAGATCAGGATAACTCACGAGTTAGCCAAAACAGTGGAGTTAGTTTAGTGGCAACAACAATGCATGTGACAGGTTACAAGGATAAGAACCCAGTGTTTACTGATATGAGTTACTATGGAGTTATTATTGAGATATGGCAACTTGACTACAATATGTTCAAGATTCCGGTATTTAAGTGTGATTGGGTTGACAACACAAAGGGAATTAAAGTAGATGAGTTGGGTTTCACATTAGTTGAGTTAGGGAAGATAGGCCATAAAGACAATCCCTTCATTTTGGCTTCCCAAGCTAAGCAAGTTTTTTATGTACAAGATCAACTTGATCCGAGATGGTCAGTTGTGCTAGAACCTCCTCAAAAACAATATTCTTGTGAAAAGGATGATGAGTTCAATGATTTTTGTATAGAACATCATGGCTTTACAAAAGTTTTGCCAAAAGTTGAATCATTAGATGTGGTTGATGATTCTATGTCATCTTACATGCGAGGAGATTGTAAGGGAACTTGGCTCGATAATCCATGATGAAAAAAAAAAAATGTCTTTGTAAGAATGTATGTCTAAGTATTGTATTTTCATGTTAAAATGTTTGACTTATATTCATTTTCTTCATGTCTTTATATTTAATTGTCTAACTATTTGACATTTTTTCCTTAAATTTTTATTTTATTTTATTCACAGGATGGATACTTCTCATGTCCTGCCTACTGATGGAGAGGATGCATGGTTACCAGCAACAGAACCAACAGAACCAACATCTAATAAAAGAAAAGGCAGAGGTTCGACAACATTACCGGATGTCATAAAGGATAGGAGTTTTAAGTGCAATCAAAATTAGAATTTTATAACGTTATATTTTTTGACTACTCAGTTAACATACAAAGTGGATGAAAGAAGTAAGAAAAATGTGTTATCTTCAATTTGTTCAAAATGGAGGACATTCAAGAAAGAACTTACCAAGTACATACGTGAAAACAAGTCCAATCCTGAGATCATATCAAACCCACCAGCAATTTATGGATTCATTGAACAAACACATTGGGACTCATTTCTTGAAAGGCGACTATCAGAAGAGTTTGAGGTAAAAATAATCAAACTTTAGTTATTTAAAATGTCAGTATTAAATGCTAGACCCATCAAACTTCATATAGTTCTGTAATAATAGTGGCATGCCCCTTGTAATCTTGTAAATTTTATGTTTTATTTTATAACTTATTCACCTAAAAAAAATATTAAATGCTATACATTTGAATTAATTTTGTGTGTTACATTTTCAAAGATTTTGAGCCAGGTTCAGAAATGGAGACGAAGTCAAAATAAGTATAACCATAGAATTAGTCGAAAGGGCTATGCTCGCTTTCAAGAAGACTATGTAAGTGGTTATAAATTTTATTATTTAATAACAATTTTGATATTATTATTTTGAAAAATTGATGTATGTTTAATTGATAGAAACGTATGACCGGATCTACTGAAGGTTTGGACAGAAGCGTTCTATGGAAAAAGGCTCGTCAAAATAAAAATGGAGAATATGATGACAAGATAATTATGGAACAAGCTGCGAGAATTGTAAGATATTTGTGTGTACTGATTGCATTTATTTTATATTATCTTTGAAAAATCTAAAAATCCCCTAGATGTTGATTTGTGATTATGTATCAATTTTAAGCAATATATAACAATCCCAATCAAACAATCAAGACAAATCGACATAATGATTTTACGTGGAAAAACCACAATTGGACACCTCCAATTGTGATAAAAAAATCACGGGCAACAGCCACAAAACAATCCACTAAGAAGATATAAAGGAATTACACAGGTATATTCTCAATTACCTAGCGAATCCATGCCCGAATTGAACCAACCTCTATGTGCCTCTTCCAACCCCGTCTTCACCTTGGAATTGTCTTGACGATAAGCCACTCCGGAATCCACCAAAGCTTCAGGCTCGAATTCTTCAGAATCCACCGAAGAATAACTCTCTTTTTTTTATGTAGAATGAGCAAACAAACCTTTGATGTATACTGTTTAAACCATGAGTTGAATACTGAATGAAAAAATCAAAGAAAACTAGCAAAATATCTCCAGATATAAACCTTAGAATCCAAAAAAAAAATATCCCCAAATATAAACCTTATAATCCAAAAAGAAGATTTGGAGGACTTATCCAAGTTTTAGGAGAAAAACCAACTTCTGATAGAAATCCAAAGTAATCCTAGTTTTGGAAGAAAACCAATTCCTTATAGAAATCCAAGAATCTGTGTTCACAATTCCCGCTCGAGCGGAGGCTTCAAAATTGTGTGATTCATATAGGCTTCACGCTCGAGCGGAAGTTTCCACGCTCGAGCGTCGAATCACACCATCTAGTACTTTTTCAGGAAAAACAAAGATGCTGTAAGCTTGCAATCCCCGCTCGAGCGGGACGACCAAAATTGAAAAATCTAGAAAACTAGATCCTGTTACAACCTCGGTTTTGATCCATGAAAATTGGCAAAGGCACGATTCGGGTTGGATTCGCATCTAAACACTCATAGCCTCACTGAAATAAAAATGCGAAAACAAATACAACTGAAAGGAGTTTTGTCAAACGGGGTAGCCAAGAATAAAACCTAACAATCTCCCCCTTTGGCAATGCCGTGACAAAACACACCTAACAAACAATAGACATATGACACGATTATCTTGAAACATGAGATGGAAAACATGAATAGATGAAAACTAAGACTCATGAAAAAAAAACTCTCAAACAACAAAAGCAAGATCATAAACCAACCCAAGTCAAGATGAACCAAACTCCCTCTCACTAAAAGCAACCACAAACATTGAAAACAGTGAACAAGAAGAAAACGGCAAAAATAATATGGTGGAGCAAGCAAGGAATTTCAGATTTGTACCTTAAAACACACAAGATTATCCAAGAAGCACAATTACTAGTAAACACAATGTGCACAGTCTGTAGAAAATTCCTCATGAAAGAAAGTGATGCATTATGTGAAAAGCATAAATCCCATGAGAAAAGTGTGTATGTGACTCTTGGAGTTTGACAAACACTAGATTCAATCCTAGTAGTGATCTGAAAGTTGGACCTCTGGCAAGAGAATCTAAGCACAACACAGGAAAGTCAAATCACTAGGAATCAAGGGGTATTTGGTGAGTAAAGGCGGAGGCTCCTCCTCAATCAATGAATCTTTTTTTTTTTTCTTTCTTTTTTTTGCACATTTTTTCTTTTGCACATTTTTTTTTTTTTGCATATTTTTTCTTCTTCTCTTTCTTTTTATTTTTCTTTTTCTTTTGCACACTCATTGGCGGCTGACACGCTCAAGAGTATGGAAACCGAATCAAAGAAGCATGGATATAATAAGGATGGCCTAGTTGGTGACTCTGAGGTAGCCTTTTCCTCATGGCTAGACTACAAAGAATAGAGGGGAGAGCCGTGGAGATGCAAAAAGATGGAAGGTGGTTAAGAGACTCAACATCACCCATGATATGCTAGTATAGATCAATTCATCTAGAAACGCAAAAGATACAATGCCAGAAGTCCATAGAAAAAAAAAATCACTAAGGCAGAAGACTCCAAAATTTGCTAAACCAAGAGTGTGTACAGAATGAGACATACTCATCAAAAAACACGCACTCCAAAATGAGTAATGACCACAGAAAGCACACATATATTAACATGTAATGGATATTCTCGTCAATTCCAATATGCACCAAGGACTACTCAAAAATTTCAAGCTTGCAAAACTATACTAAGAAAATCTTTTTGGGATTTTTTTTTTCAATTTTTTTTTAACTAAAGCAAGACCAAAAAAAAAATGAACGAACACACATGAATGAAAAAAAAAAAAACACACAAAAACCCAAAAACTAAAATGAAAAAACAAATTAACACAAGTCAAGTTTTCTCACCCAAACCGCTTTAGTATAAACAAAGTTGTGAGCATTACGGTTCTTGGGTGGTGTCTTGACGTTGTGGTTCCCTTTTCTTTCAATGGGAACCCGTCTCGACTGGGTTTCCAACAGCCTATTTTTAGGTCTAGGCAAATATACTCTCCCATGCAACTTATAACAATAAGGGCGAATATGACCATGAATACCACAATGATGACAAATAAAAACAGGGTGTATCTTATATTCTTTGGCCTTACCAACCTAGGAAGTTTGAGAAGTCCACCCTCATGTTGAATTTTTTGTCCTCCCTTTCCTTGAGTTCTTGTATCATGAGATATAGATGCACTTTGTTTTTGCTCTTTCTTACCACCAAAGCTAATGCCACTCCTGTCAGAACAAATTTGTTGAGAACCAATGATATTGTCCATAGTCTTTGATCTTTTGTTCCAAAGTCCAATGGTTGCCATAGCACACTTGAGCTCTTTCTCTTTTTTGATCATTAGTTCTTCCAAAGCAACTTGAGACATCTCAAGAGTTTTAATTTTTTTTTCATATGTTGCATAGATTTGCTGTAGCTCATTCCTCTCTGTCTCACAAGTCAAAAGTTTTGCACAAAGAGCTTTTCGATCATTAGCTATCTTAAGGGCATCATTCCTAGCCTCGGAAATCTCTTTCTTTAATTTGACATTCTCACTTTCACATGCTTTGAGTTTCGTAGTGAGTTTGTCATTCAATTTGGATAAGTTAAGAGACTCCTTACACAACTTTTCATAAGCTTGCTCAAGCTTTTCATCATCACTTCCCGAGGATTCATCATTAGTGGCATTCTCAACCGGGTTCTTCGGATACTCTATTTGTCCTTCAGTTTCAGAAGCCGCCATGAAAGCAAGGAATTGTTTATGTCCTCCTTCGCCTTGATCTTCGATGTCACTTTCATCTTCATCAGATTTTGATTCATCATCCCAAGTGATAGCGATGGCTTTTTTCTTCTTCAAACGAGTGGGACATTCTGAAGCAAAGTGGCCAAATCCTTGGCATTCATAGCATTGGACTCTTTCAGAGTTCCCTTGTATCTTTCCTTTCTCCTTCTTAGCTATAGAATTAATTTTGAGTTTATCTTTGCCTTTAGATTTATGAGTATGAGTAGATTCTAAAAGTTTAGGATTCTTTTTCAAAAAAGATTTTTTAAATTGTTTAACAAAAGCAGCCGTAATCTTGGAATCTATCTCACAATCCACATCAGAATCCTCTCCAACTCTATGAGCACTACTAAAAGCAATATCTTTTTGTTTCTTTTTGACATTCTTATGTCCCTCATAAGTTTGGAGATTTCCAACCAACTGATCAAGCTTGAGGTTGTCAACATTTTGAGCCTCCTCAATAGCCGTAACTTTTGGTTGGAACGATCGGGCAATGATCTCAAAAATTTTCCCACAACTTTGGATTCTGGTATTTTTTCACCTAAATTGAAGCTGGAATTTACAATGTCACTCAACTTCGCATAAAATTCATCAAAGGTCTCATTATCTTTCATTGAAAGGTTTTCGAAACTAGACGTGAAACTTTGAAGTTTTGAGCGTTTAACAGAAGGAGTACCCTTATAAATATTTTGTAAGATATCCCAAGCCTCTTTTGCGACTTCACAATTGCAAATTCGACTAAACTCTTCAGGTGTGACAGCGCAAAAGAGAGAATTGATAGCTTTACTATTCCAGCTACTATTTTGGTAATCAATTGTGTCCCACTTTTCAATTGGTTTGGGGAAAGTTACTCTATCAACGGTAATTGTTGGTTCGGTCCACCCATTTATGACAGATTGCCAAACTTTTTCATCAATAGATTTTAAAAACGATCTCATCTGAGCTTTCCAAAACGAATAATTAGATCTGTCAAGTAGGGGTGGTCGAACCATAGAATTTTTCTCACGAATTGAATCCATTATCACAAATCAAACAAGATCTCATTCTAAAAGAATGTTTTTTTTAAAAAAATAGAACGACCTGTTCTGATACCAATTGAAAAATCTAGAAATCCCCTAGATGTTGATTTGTGATTATATATCAATTTTAAGCAATATATAACAATCCTAATCAAACAATCAAGACAAATCGACACAACGATTTTACGTGGAAAAACCACAATTGGACACCTCTAATTGTGATAAAAAAATCACGGGTAACAGCCACAAAACAATCCACTAAGAAGATATAAAAGAATTACACAGGTATACTCTCAATTACCTAGCGAATCCACGCCTGAATTGAACTAACTTCTATGTGCCTCTTCCAACCTTGTCTTTACCTCGGAATTGTCTTGATGATGAGCCACTCCGAAATCCACCAAAGCTTCAGGCTCGAATTCTTCAGAATCCACTGAAGAATAACTCTTTTTTTTTGTGTGTATAGAATGAACAAATAAACCTTTGATGTATACTGTTTAAACCATGAATTGAATACTCAATGAAAACATCAAAGAAAACTAGCAAAATATCCCCAGATATAAACCTTAGAATTCAAAAAGAAGATCTGAAGGACTTGTCCAAGTTTTGGGAGAAAACCAACTACTTATAGAAAACCAAAGTAATCCTAGTTTTGGAAGAAAACCAATTCCTTATAGAAATCCAAGAATCTGTGTTCACGCGGTCCGCTCGAGCGTGGGAATTCCCGCTCGAGCAGAGGCTTCAAAATTGTGTGATTCATATAGGCTTCACGCTCGAGTGGAAGTTTCCACGCTTGAGCGTCGAATCACACCATCTAGTACTTTTTCAGGCGAAACAGAGATGCTATGAGCTTGGAATCCCCGCTCGAGCGTCACTTTCCCCGCTCGAGTGGGACGACCAAAATTGGAAAATCTGGAAAACTAGATCCTGTTACAACCTCGGTTTTGATCCATGGAAATTAACAAAGGCACGATTCGGGTTGGATTCGCATCTAAACACTCATAGCCTCATTGAAATAAAAATGCGAAAACAAATACAACTGAAAGAAGTTTTGTCAAACGGGGTTACCAAGAATAAAACCTAACAATCTTAACTGTTCATCTTTCTTATATAGTAATGTAATATTGTAGGATGAGTTGACCAAACAAAAAAGTGATGGGAGTTTAAAGATTGAATGATGCAATGACATTCTTACTATGGCATTGGATACTCCTGAATCTTCTAGTCGAGTAAGGGGTGTAGGAAATTCTGTCACACCTAGCACCTACTTTCACTTGCCTAGACGTGGGAATCGGTCACATTGGGAGAAGAAGTGTAATGATCTTGAGGCAATGGTGGTACAATTGCAAGCTAGGCTTAGTGCAGTGGAACAACAAATACCATATACACCAGAATCTGAACATGTTAGTTCAAACATCTTGAGAAGTGGTTATGAAGGAAATTTTCAGCCTGATTTTTTCTCTTAACAGAAAACAGAGTGAGAACTAAGGATGACATTCCACTGCAAGCTCTTACCCAAAAGATTATAAAGGTGTGTAGCATTTAGAACACCTAAAGTTGTTATATTTTCTAATACTGTTAGTAATTTTATTAGTGCTTTTTTTGTTATATGTGTGTTTGTTATAGAGCAAATGTTCAAACACATTGAAAAGTGGTGGTAGAGATAATTTTCAGCATGATTCTTTATTAGCAAAAAATATGGTAAGAACTAAGGACGACATTTCACCTCAAGATCCTAAACAAAATAAGAGAAAGGTGTATAGTTTTTATCTATTGATATTATAATTTCTAATATCGTTAGTGATATTATTAGAAGATACATTTTTAACTTTGTGTTATAGGGCAAACCATGTAAACTCGCGATAGGTTCCATTGAAAATATTGTTGCTCATGGTACGATGTATAAGAGAATTGAACACAATGAAGCCATTCATACGGTGCCATTAGGAGAATCCAATGTGCGTGTGTCTGTTGAAGTTGTTATTCAAAAAGATGCCCCTCTTCCTATACCTATCCCAGATTATTGTTGGAGAAGTAGTGGGATTTTTTGTTACTTGGCCCAAAAATCTTGTATTGGTCGATGATGAAGTAAAATATTCAAACTTAGAAACTTTATTACAATTTCTTAAAGTTAAAGTTGACTTATATTTGTTTATTTTGAAAATTTTAAACTTAGGGAGCTTCAATTAATGTTGAATGTGGAAAATATCAAGAGTCCATTCAATCTTTTGTTTCATTAGTTGAGCATATCAAGTATGATGAAGCCATAGACATTCCACTAGAGAAAGACATTTTGAGAGGAGATCAATATCCAACTTCAAAGAGTAGACATGGAGTACATATGTCATGTAAACGAATTATCTGTTACATGTATCATGTTGTACATAAGGTAAGGAAAATTTGCTACATCAATAGTTATTTCTACAGATTTTATGAATTACGAATTTAATTAAAATTTGTTTATTTTATTAGTCATCTCTATCAAATGTTGAAGGCTTCCAATTGGAGGAAACAATTTGTATTTGTTAACCCTTATGTCATTAGTGGAAAAACTATGGCTGGGGAGAAATCAAAATCAGTGTTGCTTGCAAGAAGATTAGAGGAGGCTATGCTAGAACAATTGATTTTAATTCCTTATAATATTAGGTAATTATCTAAAACTATTTATTTCATGTATTCAAATGATAATAAACTTATTAAGCTTATATTTGTGACTTGTTCAATTGTAGGTACCATTAGATATTGTTAGTCATTGATCTAACATTGATGATTGTGTACTTGCTTGATCCGATTAATTCTAAAATAAACACAAGCTTTGAAATTGTAATAAACACGGAAGTTTGGCTAATTTGTACATTTTAAAGCAATTTGAGTTACTCTAAAAATATTTTGACATCTAGAATTTCTTTTGTAAAGTGCTTTGAAAATTTATGAAACTACCCAAAGGAGGAGGAGGACCAATCCAGTTTGGAAAGTAGTTCAGGTAATCAATATCATTTTCTCTAATTTTATCATAGTTATATTTATGCTAATAATTGTTCAGCTTGATCATAACACTCTATATATAGTTTCTAATAATAATGAAAATGTTTTTATGTAGTCCCCGCAACAACCTACAAACGTGGAATATGGGTTTCATGTAATGCGGTATATGAAAGACCTCATTAGAGATCAAAGCATCCTAAGAAAACAAAATGTGAGATAAATTCTAAACTTTTATTACTATTATATTCATGATACTTGTACATCTTCTTCATTATCTAATTGTTTGTAAATAACCTCTTGCAGTTCAATGGAAAAAAGACTTACACGGAAATTGAACTTGATGAAGTGCGAGTTGAATGGATTAATTTCGTACTAAAGAATATGATTTGAAATCCAATGTAAGTATGATATAACTTCCGTTCTTTAAATTACTAATCAACAATTTCTTTAGTTGGTAAAGAATATATAATCACTTCAAGATTTCATTTTAGATTTGTTGATTCTATGTATATTTGGTTTTATGACTTTAAAATATCTTCTCATACATTGAAGATTTTCATTTTGGATTTATTGATTCTATGTATATGTCATATTTATATATGGTAATCCAAACATTTTATATTAGTAACAATCAAAATTGTTATTCCTTTTCTATTGATGCAGGAGATGAAGAGTCAGTGTGATGAGAAAATGTTCGATTTTTGTTTTTTTTGTAAGTCTCTACAAAAATATTAAGTTTATTCATATGCTTCTAGTGGTTTCGGAATTAATTTGTGTTTTTATTTTTCAGGTCAGAAATTTCTTGGAGAAATGCAAAATATGGTCAAAGAATTCAACAACTTAGTTTTTTCAAGTTTTTTTTTTTAATATATATAAGCACAGTTAAAAACTTTTTACTAATTCCTTTGTATATACTTTTTGAACATTTAGCTTTGATTTATGAAATATATGACGTTATTCCATTCAATATATGGTTGTGATTCAAAATATAGTGTATAGTGTGTATTACATTCTTCAAATGCATATAACATGTGATGTTATCTGATTATTAATCACGTGTTTTATTAGATATTAATCACACTTAAAATTTGTGATCTAAATGTTTATTATCACATGTTTTATTAGTTATTAATCGCACTTAAAAGATGTGATCTAAATGTTATTAATCACACTTAAAAGGTGTGATTAAAAATGACCCATTTTAATCACACTCCCGACAATCACACTTCAATAAAACTTAAAAGATGTGATTAAATAATAAACATCACACAAAAAAATGTGATCTTTATCTATTTTTATAGTAGTGGGTAATGTCCTAGTTCCTCTTATATATGAGACTAAAGAGTTATTTGTTTGGTGAGATTAGGGTATAGGATTAGGTTTTATTTCAAGCAAATTGGATAATTTAATGTTTGGTTGGAAAAAATAAAGGGCAGACCATTAGTCCGGTCGGACTAATAAACCCCATATATGAGATAACTCAGTCACATGGAAGTGTGGGATAGAAATGGACGAAATTAACCCTTAAGTATATATATAATTTATTCCTTTCATTTTTTTTAATTTTTTTAAACCTGTTGCATTATTTCAAACCTATGTAAATTAATCTCATAATATATAATAGTCTTTTTACTTTGTTTTTGTTTTTTGTATTAATAAAATCATAAATGCAAATATATTTCTAATATCGTATTTAAATAAAATTAAAAGTGTTTTTGTAAAATAAAATATATTTCAAATAAAAATTTGATTAAATTAAATATACTTTAAATAAAATAAAATAAAGTATACTTCAAATTTAAGTATTGTCATTGTCAACAATTTAAACAATATACTTCATAATTTTCAAATCAAATGTGATATTCATTAATATAGTCATTTTTATATATTTATAATTTCTTAAAAAAACAAAAATGAGATGCATATCATTTCCAGCAAAGTAGTTCAGGAATTATATATCATAAGACTCTCTGTCTATTGCATTATAGGAGTGAGGATCCTCTCCTTGCAGCTTTCGTGCTTGCGTCCGTCCTTGCAGGCCTTCGGGTCTATTTTTAGGCCCAATTTTGATAATCCGAACCGTTCATATTTTATGATTTATTCAGTATATCATACCTGTAAAAAATAAAGTTGATCAGATATCAGAAAGCATATGTTCGGAAAACTGTTTATTAAATTCTTTAAAAAATAGTGTTTAGTTCAATTTTTCAAACACATACTTTCTGATATCCGATCAACTTGATTTTTTACAGGTATGATATACTGAATAAATCATAAAATATGAACGGTTCGGATTATCAAAATTGATGACCGAGGATCACATTAAAATGTAAGTTAAAATGTGAGGACTTAATTATTCGAATCATAAGTTGAGAGATAAAAAAAAAAATAACATTATTAGTGTAGTTTAAAGTGAAAAAGTATAATTTATCCAATAATTACAAAAAAATAATAAGAGAAGAGGTAGCGCTAGGGGTGTGCACACGTCGCATATCCGGGAGAAACCTGAGGGCGCTAAACAATTCGGACCCTTATTTTTTTTTAATTTAGTCTTACAAGTGCAGTGTGAAACATAAATGAGAGTCCAAATCCGGTAATTTTTATAGAAAATCAGTTTTAATGCAAAATCGTTGACAGAAATGAATTATATCATCAGATCTTAGAGTCGCCACCTAATCTTTTAGAAAAACTAAGAAACTTGTGACTCGTGCCAAGGCCACTATTGTCATTACCAAAGATGTCTCAGTTCAGAACCTTATGTATAAAGAGGGAAGATCATTAATTGAACACATTCGCTCACCAGATCCTCCCGTGCTTGCGTCCGTCCTTGCAGATCTTCGGGTCTACTTTTAGGCCTAATTTTGATAATTCGAACCGTTTATATTTTATGATTTATTCAGTATATCATACCTGTAAAAAATCAAGTTGATCGGATATCAGAAAGCATATGTTCGGAAAACTGTTTATTAAATTCTTTAAAAAATAGTGTTTAGTTCAATTTTTCAAACACATACTTTCTGATATCCGATCAACTTGATTTTTTACAGGTATGATATACTGAATAAATCATAAAATATAAACGGTTCGAATTATCAAAATTAGGCCTAAAAGTAGACCCGAAGGCCTGTAAAGACGGACGCAAGCACAAACTTGGAAGAAGAGGCTCCTGACTCGCATTATAGTCCCTTTGTCAAGTCCATCTAAACATACATCACCTAATGAGTTTGCACTTCTAGATGGACGATACTTAGGATTGATTCTCAATTATTAAAAAAAAAAAATTTATTTTATTTATTGCTGAAGAAATTAATTAGTTGGCTGGAACTTCTACCATAATAACCTATTAGTTGACTGTAAGTATCATAGGTTAGATCTCATCAAGACCTTCTTGAAAATTTAAAGTTTTAATCACATTGACCACTTTTTCAGGCTACATATATAGCCCACCGCGACCCCTCAAAAATTGCCCCCAAAATCAATCACTTTCCTTCATTAGACTTTTTCAAAAATACTTTTTAAAAAATTATATTTTTATTTTTTCGTGTTTTTTTTTTTGTTTTTATTGAAATTTTTTTAATATTTTAGATAATTTTTTTAATTTTTAGATATATCTAACATAAATATACCTAAAAAGTAAAAATTTGGTAATTTATTTTTTAAAAAATTCATTAAATACCAAAGAATACAAAATAATATAAGAATTCAGTATATATTTTTATGTATTTATTAATTTTTAAAAATATTTTTTCATAAATTTTTTACTTTTTAGATACATCTAAGTAATGTCTTCCCAAGGCCGGAGTAGCTTTACATCCATGAGCCGAAGTAACATTTACTTCTCCCAGCCGGAGTAACATTGCTCTCTGGGCCGGAGTATCCTTTACGGCCTTCTTACTTAGTCCTTCGCGTTTTGGGCCTCAAAGCCCAACTTGCAGCTCGGCCCAATTTTTCCCAAAAATTACCCTCTCAATTTCGATTAAAAATTTGATAACAGATCTGTGGAGTGAATATATATGTATATATTGTTTCCTTACAAATTATATATTGTTTCCTTACAAATTTGTGAATGAGTTTAGATTTAGGAAAGTAGGGTTCCTTTTCCTTTCAGTCCATACAAATTTAATAATAATATCAAAAAAAATTGTTTTTTTTTTTTTTGAGCTTATCAAAAAAAATTGTTGGTATGCTTAAAATGATTTAACATTCAAGTAATATTAGAGATTATGAAAAAAAATATTATAAAATATTTTATGAAAATTTTTTATTTTTTGATTAGTATAGAGTGTTTTATCGTATATGTAATTCAAAAGTAGAGAATTTTTGTGAAAGGTTTTATCATATTTTTTTTTATCATTCCTAACATACTCTTTAACGTTCCTATATAAAAAGGGAAAATGAGTAGTTGGGAAATACATAATCATTTTTAAAAATATATATTTAAATGCATAACCATTTAGTGTTGTATTAATCAGTACCTTTATACTATTAGTTTTTTTAAAAAATAAAAATAAAATTAAAATTAAAAAAAATTAAAAAAGAAAAAACTTAGAAAGATAGAAAATATTTAGTTGGAGGATTGCTTGGAAATCTCTATACTTTTTTTTTAACAAAAAAAAATGATATTCTGAGGTGTCATCACTACATCCGTAGACCTAGGTCTCGGGATAATCGGTTGTCGACCTGATTTGACCCACCACTGAGACACCAATGGAGCTTAACCGCACGCCACTGACAAGCCTAGGTTTCGATCAAAGTACAAGGTGAGATCTCTGTAAAAAGCCAACTGCAAAGCAACAAAATTCACCTCCTCAAAATTCGAACTTGAGTCACGCCTATGAAAAAAGATGCTTTCTCCACTAAACCACTACACGAATGGTGAAAATCTCTGTACTTTGTTATTAGCAGAACAACAATCTGTAGGGAAAAATTTTTTATATGTGCTATTTTGTTTGTTGTTCAATTATTTCAAATAATGTGAGTAACTTTGCGAATGAGGGCGGAAAATTACCATTGGTTCATGAATGATCAAAATAAATTCTAAAATGTAATTCCAGAAGATTTTTTTTTTTTTTGAGAAAACTAAATTCCAGAAGAATTAAAACGTTCACTCTCCAGTCAGTAAGAAACTGAGAATCCAAAAAATAACACACAAATGTAATTAAAATATTTGTAGCAATTACATATTAAAATAAGAGGAATGTACGTAGAACAACACAAATAAAATAGGAAAATTTATTGATAAATTCATAGATGTATGGCATTAGGTTTAAGGATTATTTTTTATTTTTATTTGAAAGACATGATTAATGAAATTGTTTGGTAAAAAAAATAAATTGTTATTTTGAAGGATAATTCTTTTTATTTTTACCTGCCGTCACTGAACAGTGGCCTTTTGCCCAAAATTTCAAAGAAAAAGTGCTTGAGAAAGTTACTTGGAAAAGTCGCAGGAGGTGATTGGCTAGTGGTGGTAGTGATATGGATATATAGGTAAATTAGGTAAATAGATAGGTAATACCGGACAAATAGGTGGACAGATCAATGATACATAGATAGATACGTGACATTGGACAAATAGGTGATACTAGACAGATAAGTATGATCAATATGCTCTTTCAAAAAATTATTTTCATTATGTCTCCAAAAAATTAAAACTTAGAGCCATTACCTCAAAAGTTTTAAAATTAGACTTATGGTCC